AAAAATAAAAACATTTTTGTCAAAAAAAAAAAAAGTAACAAAAAATTTTGTCAAAAAAAAAAAGTTCTTATAAAAAAATAATAATACAAGTATTTTTGTCATAAGAAAAAAGTGAAAGGTTTTTTTATTCAATTTCGCTTTTTGTCAAATTTTTTCTTATTAAAAAAAATGAAAGGTTTTTTTATCAATTTTGCTTTTTGTCAATTTTTTTTCTTATCAATAAAATAAAAAGTTTCTTAAAAAAAAAATGAAAGGTTCTTATCAATTATTTTTCTTGTCAAATTTCTTTTTTTTTTTTCAAAAAATAAAAGGTTTTTGTCAAAATAATAAAAAATAATAAAAAGTTATTGTCAAAAAAAAAATTTCTTATAAAAATTAATAATACAACAAGTATTTTTTGTCAAAAAAAAAAGGTTCTTGCTAAAAACAAAAAAAAATGTAATACGACAAATATTTCTTGGAAAAAAATAAAAGGCTTTTGTCAAAAAAACTAATTCCATGTATGATTATATACTTCATCCATGATAGTTCTATGATTTTTATTTTGTGTGATGTAATTTAATGGTTAAAATAAGTTCATACAGAGAAAAAATATCTCAATATTCACATATTGATGAGAAAAATGAAAATTAATAATATTGTACCCCGATTTCTTATTGGATTCCTAAAAAACAACATTTATAATAAATTTTAATAATTTTTTTATATTTTTTTTACAGCTTAATCCGACTGATTCGACCAATTCCCGATCCGGATCGTCGATCCACCGATTCGGATGGGTTTTTGGGGTGCCCGATCTGGGCCACCAATCCGTTTTTTAAACCATTGGATTTAATCATGTTGAGAGCTATGCAAACCTGCTCTGACACCATGTAAATTTCTCTTATGGTGAGAGAAGACAAGAAAGGAGGCACACTAGACTCTAGGGGTGAAGACAGCTGGGCAAGAGAGGCACGACCAGGACAATGAAATCTTATATTCAGATAAGTGGTGTTGCATTAGGGCAACAATTTTACAAAAATGCCTTGTGTGAATACATATTCCGAAATACAAGAATGTACATAAAACAAATCTTCCAACACTTGTTATGGGTTATATAATAATTGGCTCATGAATTAATGATCTAAGATGCTGAAGAAGTGGATTTGAAGACATGGTTTGTAGATGACAATGTAACTGGCTGTTCCACTGGTGTCTTAGAGCTGAGTGAGGCCTTGGGAGCAGCTATTGGTTCTATAAATCTTTGTGGCGTGATCTCTTGGATCAAATATTGTTGGCTGTCTGGCTAAAGTTTCCTCCCCCTCTATCGATACTATATTGGCACTTGCTCTGCTTTGTTTCGGTCTCAAGTGTGGATGCAAGTCCCAACAATGTTCTAGGGTGTGTCTCATATTCCCACAATGGGAGTATTTTAGTTTCCTTTTCTGCAAGAGAATGTGGGGCATGATTTGGTCATTCTATACCAGCTTTCCCTTGTTGAAACTTGCTACAAGGGTCGAGCGTTCAGGTTGGACGCTTGAACTTTGTACCCCTGTAGTGACCTTTCTACTGGTTTCCCCCCCACACATACCTATATAATAATTTGAGAGAGGGCAATGAATCCTTTCCTAGAACCTGTAAACTGAGATCCTTTTTGCGCAGTCTGCTTTTTAATGTCATTAAAGGTGAGATTTATGAGTTTATGTCGCAATATCCCAAAATTCTCTTTCATAGTCATTTCCCTTTTGTTGCAAATTCGCTACTTTGTGATCCAACGGGTGAATTCTAGCCAGATGATCTTGTTGCGAGTATGTTTTGGCTATTGCCTTCCGTATATTCTTTGAAGTTTTAAGGAAAATCAATCTCCAACTGATACTTGGCTGCATGAAATGAAGAACCATGCCATCACTATCATCTACTCAATTTCCCATTCATATTTTATATTTAAAATAATTTAAAATAATATATAACAAACATACCATATAACATATATGTATATATATAAAATAATATATAATATTTTAATAATTGGGTAGGATCCATTGGACCTGCATGAAATGAAGAGCCATGCCATCACTATCATCTACTCAATTTCCCATTCATATTTTATATTAACAAAAATACCATATAACATATATGTATATATAAATAATATATTATATTTTAATAATTGGGTTGGATCCATTAGACTTGGATCCGATTCGAATTACTATTCGGATCCAAATTTTGGATCCATACCCTGATCCGGACAGAGTCCAAATTTGGGTTTTGGATCCAAATTGGGTATGTTTTGAGCCCTACATCACGGGATAGATCATCAATGGGAGGTTCTTTTATCTTCCTTGTGATGTAACCCAATTTAGTTTCATATCCAATGATTTAGATAAGATTGCCTGTTTCAAGAGTTGTTCCCATTAATAGTTAAAGGGTGCAGTTTGTATAGAGCTGGGGCTCTAAACAATCAAATTAGAGCCCCCACCTTCAAGTGGTATCGAGAAATGTGGTTTCAATGCTGAAAATCTTTGTGACAGCCTTAAAATATATTTTCATCTTTAATTATAAAATTTAAAGCTTCAAAAATAGTGTAGATCGATCTATGAATACTTGAAAAACTTGAAAATTGACGGTTCAAAAATGAGTTACAAGATGCACTATTTCCAAAACTTGAAATCTATTTTTTTCAAATGTCCATGCATCTTGAGACGGAGATGATCAATTTGAAGATATTTGGGCATCAAAACAACCTCTTATAATGAAATTTTTGAGGTGGGCTCCAATTTAATTGTTTAGAACCTCAGCTCTATATAAACTTTTCCCATAGTTAAATAGCATCATTGAAGTTCATATGATGTTATGCAGTCATTTTTTTTTTCCATATTGGGTTTTTAAGCTCTTTATTGTAAGGGTGTGATTTCTATAAAGTTGCAACCTTAAACAATTAAGGCGCACCTCCAAATTTTATCGTAACATGTAATTTTGGTGTAAGAAATTATTAGGATTATCTCAAAATCTATTTTCATATCTAATTATAAAATTTTAAACTCCAAAAATGGTTAAAATCAAGTAGATCTATAAACATATGAAAATCTTGAAAATGGATGGTCTAGCTAATGTGTTGCAAGGTGCACTATTTCTAGGACTCAAAAGTTTTTTTTTTCATATTCATACATCTCGATGTTGAGATGATCAATTTGAGGGTTTTTCAACATTAAGACAACCTTTTCTGATGGATTTTTGAGGTGCATCTTTAATTCTACATTTTAAAGCTGCAACCTTATATAAACTCTGTCCTTATTGTAATGCCTTTGTTACTTTGGGAAAACTACAGTTTGTAGTTCGAAATTCAAGTTGTGTTTATGTATTGGTTGTCAGAATATTTGTAAAAATCACATGTTTATCCACACATGCAGTCAAAATGCCATTCGGCTTGAAGAGAAGGAGAGGGAGGAGAAAGAATTGCTGAACCAGATTATTGATGAAGCTGATGAATACAAAATCGACTTTTACAGGAGGAGGAAGATCAATATTGAAACAAACAAAACCAACAACAGAGAAAAAGAGAAGGTGAGGTGGCATAACCATATGCTGTCTTGGTTTTTTCATTGTAGAAGATTCTCAGCCTAGTGATTCAATTATTGCCATGAGATTCTTCTTGCTTCTTTTTTTTTATCTGTTTTTCTTTGGAAGCTAAAAGACATAGTTCAAGGACTCAACAGACAGAACCTGATGACTCTTTTTCAAGAGGGAACCAGCAGTAAGAACCACAATTATTTATTTTACTTAGAGACCATCTCAGACTCCACTAAGCCCTTGTTTTTAATTATTCTGGTTAGTAATTTAGTATGGTCTGGTCTCTCCAACACAGCCGAGGAAAGCCCTTCCTACTTGTCTTTGGTCAATCCCCAAACATTGTCCGACTCAAAGTAATTGCAATCTAAGTTCAACCTCAGTGCATCCTAAGGAGGGCATGTCCACATCGTATTTTTTGTTTTGTTTTTAATTTTCCAAGGCTCTATTGACTTGCCTTATAAGTTTTGTCTTTCGTTTAATTCCTACAATTTTGTTTATAGATGCATTTATTTGCAGTGAAATTTAATTTAAACATTATAAAAAACTGAAGTATGCATATTCTCAAATGTTTTATTGCTACATCAGCTGATTGCTGAAGCCACAATTGCTTAAAATTCAGTCGTCCTATCTTTATCTTTATGAAGAAAGCATGTTGCTAGAATTCATTATTGAAATTAAGACACAGCCGTCCACTTTGCTGTTGGTCACAATATGCTCTCTGTTGGAAGCTATTGGCAAAATTGCTGTGCTTTTCTTCCATGAGTTGTTTTTTCTTCTTTTATCAAATTTTCCCCATTTCATTGTTTATCATAGTGGACTCAGCTATGTTAAGCTGAGATCCTACTTTGTTTCATGAGAAAATTTGGAAACCGCCAAAAAAATAGCACATTTGAGAGTTATATCGACACGTGATACAGTATCCAAGAAATGCATCCAGTAGATGAAATTCTTAATGGAATAGAGCTGACCTTAATTCATTTGGCAGCGTGTTAAGGTGTTGACCTAATTCTTGCGAGAATCTGAATCTTATAAAGACGTCAGAAGGCATGCATCCCTTGGACAGTGATAACAGTTCCACTATCCTTGAGACTGCTACCCAAGAAAAGGAAAAGATCCTACCGATGCTCTTAAATTTCATTTTAACAAGGGATGCGATAGGTGATTTTTTAGCAAGAATCTAGTTCTCGCAAGTTTTCTAGAAAACTAACACTCCTGTGCATTACTCTCATTAAAAATGTCCAAAATCTCTCACTCTCTCTCTCTATCCATCTATCTATTTACTGAAGAAGCATTTGAGCTGCTCATTCTTGGGATTTTCTCATTTGAATTTCTTGATTATAATCTCGCTGTCTTCTCTTTGCTGTTCTTTTGAGCAGCTCTTTTTAGCCGACCAAGAGAAGTTCCACACCAATGCAGACAAGCAATACTGGAAAGCCATCGCAGAGCTCATCCCAAATGAAATCCCAAACATCGAGAAGAAGAGGGGAAAGAAGGATCAGGACAGAAAGCCATCCATTGTTGTGATTCAAGGACCAAAGCCGGGTAAACCCACCGATCTCTCAAGAATGCGCCACATTCTTTTGAAGCTGAAGCATACACCACCGCCTCATATGAAGCCTCCTCCCCCACCCCCTACAAAACCTGCACCTGGGGCCGCAAAAGATGGTTCTGGCCCTGCTGGCGCCATCCCTCCGGCGCCTGCCACCTCTGATGCAAAGCCTGCGGTTGCTGCCCCTGAGCCAGTGGCTGTTGCTTAGTGAAATCATACTTGAATTGGTTGGGTGTTCTCATACTGCATTTTCTCTCTCTTTGCATGTATGTTTGTGGAATAGGGATTTTGAGGTTTTTGAGGTCCAAAACATTTTGGGGTCTGGGTATAAATATGGGACTCTCTCTCTCTGTTTTTGTATGTTTTGTATGGTATTAGGCGTTCTTAGATTCAGAACCTTGTTTGTTGGTTTATTGATGTGTATTGTGCTTGTGCTTTCTCTTTCTTGCTGGGCGTTGCATCATTTTTCAGTCTTCTAAATTTTTGTTGCTGTGTTTGTGGATTTTGCATATTAAGGCTCAGTTAAGATCTCACATGGTCTGGCACGTCTATGTCCTCTCTCTTTGTTTTTTCTGTTGTGGAATTTGTATATTTAAGGATCTCTCTCTCTCTCTCTATTTGCATATTTAAGTGTATTCTCTCTCTGGCACGCACATACACGTGCTTGTGCCTACACCCACAAATTTTGTTCACAGTTAAATGTTAGGTAGAATTATCAAAATAGCCGTTGGGCATGAATTATTTAACATTTTACCTGTTTGATTTAATTTCAAATATCCATCAAAAGACGCATGAGCTGGTATGGTACAAATGCGTAAAATATTAAATAGTGCATCTCTTTTAGCTATTTTCATAAATTTTCCCAAACTTTATTAGAAGGGCGCCATCTTAAGCTTAATCAATATACCCTGAATAATGTTGTTGTTATTTTTCGGTATATTCTCTATAGGGTGCGGTATGAGTAGAGCCAAGGCTTGAAATAATCAAAAGTAGGGTGCACCTTCAAATAGTATCGTGAAATGTGGTTTCAAAACTAATAATTCAGCCTTAAAATATATTTTAATTTTTAATTATAAAATTTAAAATTTTAAAAATAGTGTACATTGAGTAGGTCTATAGAAACTAGAAAATTATGAAAATTCACAGTCCAAAAGGGCATTTCAAAACCTCAAATCTATTTTTTTCTTTTGTCTATGTTCATTGATGGCGAGATGAGCAATTTGAAGATATTTGGGCATCAAAACATCTTCTAATGAAATTTTTTAGGTGGGTTCTAATTTGACGGTTTACAGCTTCGGCTCTAGATAAATTTTTTCTTTCTTTTGTACAATATTATTTAATTTATAAATTATATGTAATTAAGGGAAATTATCGTTAATATACTTTAATTTTAAAAAATTCGCAAAAAAAATCTTAACTTCCCAAAACTTTGCCCACACCATTTTTTATCAATTTTTAGCATATTTTGGATGAAATACTTTTTACGGTAGTTTTTCTACTGTAATGCATTGCGACCATTACGGTAATTAAAATACCGTTATAAATAGAGATAAAATTACGGTACTTCTAGTACCGTAATAACATGAAAAGAAAGAGAGATAACTCTGAAATTAGCTTTGGTTTGAAGCTTTTAAAGTATTACAGTAATAAGATTACCATAAAGTCAAAAAGTATTACGGTAATAAGAAAATCGTAAAGACTTTACGGTGTAATATTTTAAAAGCTTCAAACCAATGGTTTAAAAAGCGGATTGGTGACTTGGATCGGGCACCTCAAAAACTGATCCGGACAGGTGAATCGGCGATCCGGATAGGGAATCGGCTGAATCGGCCAGATTAAAGCTTCAAAAAAATCCGAAAAAATTATTAAAATTCATCATAAATGTTGGTTTTTAGGAATTCAATAAGAAATGAAGGTACTACATTAATTATTTCCATTGTTTTAATCAATTTATGAATATTGAGATGTTTTTTTTCTGTATGAACTTATGTTGACCATTAAATTTACTTCACACAAAATAAATCATAGAATTATCATGGATTAAGTATATAATCATATATGAACTACAATAAAGAGTTGACTAAATAGATGAAAAATTGGCCACTAAAATATCGAATTGGCGGAAAACCTTAATCCTCTAA